CCCTGGAAGAGGAAAAAGCCATGGAGGGTTATCTGGAAACAATGTTGCAAGGCACCACCCTCAAGCAGAAGGCGTACGGAACTTTGGCGTCGTCTGACATACAGGCGGAGACGATCGAGCAGTTGGTGAGCCTTCCATGGAAAGCAGTAGTATTGAGGTATTTCGAAGAGGAAATGAGGACTACGCCAAGAATACATGCTCTCGTGGCAGTACCTTACGTAAGGACGGAATTACAACTCAGGCTCGCCTGGTGCATGATGGGACTGACTCGCGAAGAATATGATTCAGAAGAAAGGAAGAGATCAAAGGAGGAAAAAGTTTTCCTTATGACGAATCTGAGGGATCTGATAGTCCAGGAGGGAGCAGCAGTAGCGTGTGCAAAGCGGAGAGACGCTCTCTGTTTCATTCGATTCCTGATAGAGCAGATTTCAGTACCTGCATTAAGCACTTGTGTTAAAATGTTGAAGGAAGACGATGAGCGAACGAAAGCCATGTTCTTGCTAGCAATGCTGGATATGCAGCAAAGTAAACCGATGAGGGTGAACATGAAAGAACCTGAAGAATTGGAACCCATGAAAAAGATAGACGAGATCAGGAGATTCTCAAACAAGGAGTTGAGGCTCACTAAAGAATCTATGGGAGCATTGCCAAAATCCAGTGAATACTGTGGACCGATCAAGAAGAAGTCATATAGCTATGTGTCCGGGATTATAGGGATAGCATACAATCCTTTCCTGAGTGAAGACATACGTGATTGCTTCTTTGATTATGAGCAGGCGGTGTTACTAAGATTCTGGACGTCCAGAATTGTGACGACTAAGAGCGTTAACAATCCACAGGCCAAATTGGGATTGGTCTTGGAAGAAGAGGTGACTGCACCTTCAGTACCAAAATCCGACAAGAGAGTGGAATTTGGGTTGGGATTATCAGATGAATTACTGAGAACGAGCTTGATGGCAGTGTGGGAATTGATGAAGCCATCGTGGTGTCCTAGTCCCAACGCTGACTCAATATTACGGGCGACACAGGACATACAGAGGGAACTGAATGCGGACTGTAACCTGCGTGACCTCAACATCATATATAATGTGATGATAACAGCCTCTAAGAGCAACGGAGAAGATAGAGTGGAGTTGCCTGGCTGGGGACCAGAAGACTGGGTCAAACCTGGTAGCTGTCTGGCGGAAGTCTGTGGACTAGAGGGTCACGTTTGTGGAAGTCTAGACTGTGTGAAAACCCTGGAGAAACAACACAAGCAGTTGACGGTATTGTTTGGAAATGTAGTGATGAAAGCAAGAACGGAAACGGAACTGATAGCAGATTGCCATGGAGGAACCGATGTGAATCTGGTGACAGCACTAGGATTCTACAGCATGTTTGGTTCTTTAGAATCACTATTGAATCTAGAACAGAAACATGAGATGGTCACAGCCATCAGCGTAGAAGTATTCCCAGGAGTTCTGCAGACTGAGCAGAAGTATATAGGAAAATGGAGGGAAGCAATCGAAACGGAGATGAACATCAGACACAGCGAAACTTATTGTAGACCATCAGGAGCACGATATTTGGTGGGTTCAATGTTGGCTCCAATGTGCAAGAGCAAGTATCCTGTACATTTCGTAGCTGTGGATGTGAAGAGTACAAGAACGATTGTGGATCAAGCCTTTTCAGTGCCGAAGTGCGTGAGGTTGGCAAGAATGTCTGAAAAGTCTTACGAGTTACTGTGTAAGATTTTCTCAGCAGTTCCAGAAAGAACCAAAGAGGAGTTGGAGTCAATACTAGGAAAGAAGTTCATGGGATATGTGAGCGGGAACTTCAGTGACTTTGAAAAACAGAAACAGAGAGGATCAACTGTCACAGATTACAATGCAGTAGATGAGAATGATGAGATCCACCGAGTGATGATGGAAGTGGAGCCATTGCTGGAAGCTTCGGGAAAACGGAATTGGAGGAGCATCATGTTGACACATGACGAGTTTCCTTGCCACTGCTTGCTGCAGACCTGGTGGTATCCCAAGCGTAGTAATCTGGTGTTGATCTGGGACTCTGGAGAGCTGCTCTCCATGGGTTTACCAGATTCATCACAGCCCATAACAATAGTGATAGTGGGAGTTATGATGGCGATACAATGGCTGGAAGCTCATGTGAGAGAAAATAATAGACAGGAGGCACCGACGAGAGAACAATTGCGGAAATTAGATTGTCTAAAAGATTTAGATCTTTTTGAGACAATGTGCAAAGTTCTAAACATTCCGATGGAAGTGAAGAAGATATGGGCAAGAAAACGATTGATGCCATGGTTCAGAGCTAACATGACTGCATGGTTGTACGAGTATGCGAAAAAGCATATGTCGAAGCATGGCAGAGTATACAGTGAATATCAACTGGACATTGGGGCAGGAGCTTTCAAGCGAGCTTTCGTGACCCATCGGAATGCAGTGACCACCGCTGTGAAAAGAATTTCCAGGACGAGCGAGCGTAGTGGAAATGAGAAGGCAGAGATGCTGAAAGAAGATTTGGAGAGAAACGTGACGTTGTGTCTCCACAACAGCTTCTGTAGAAACAGAGAATCAAACGTGGATCCCCTACCTTGCTGTAAACAGAGGGTGGAAGAGCAGAAGTGTTGGAGGACGGCTTCCAACAGCGTCAGGATAGTCAATGACGTGCTACAAGACACGGAAACCGAGAGTGCGGAGTCAGTGTCACAGGAGGAGGAAATGGAGCATTGACGAATGGTCGAGAAAACAAGAGGCAGCAAGAAAGAAAATTAGAAGAATTTAGAAGTTTTAGAACTTCTAAACGACGAAAAAAGAAGAGAACAAAGGGATGATGAAGAAAAGTTAAAACTCAGAATTGTTTTATGTGTGTGAAAAACTCAAGTGAGAAACCAAGCAACCAAGTTGTAATTGAAAACTGAAACATTTAAGTTGAGTTTGGAAATTGTTGCATTTATAAATTTGCATTTTGGTTTTAGTTGAAGTGGCTTTAGAGACACTCACTTATTATTTATTTAGAAAGGCTTGAGGGAAGAGTATATTTAAATATTCCAGCCTGCATGATTGTTTTTAATCACTTAGGAAGACTGATAACTTTGTGGTGACATGAAAAACTTGAGTAACTTCTTGAGGAGGGAAGTTGTTGCATTGTTCTTTCTAACCACAAGGTCTCTTGGTTTTAATATTCAGGACAATAGACAAGCAAGATTTCCGAAGGGAAGGAGCATAGTAGGATAATTTTAGCTTGTTGGTTGGCAGGACTGTCCTGCAAGCCAACACCTTTTAAATTTAGGAGAAAAAGTTTCAATCGGGACATTGACACTGGAAGTCAGAAAATATGTTTTATCTTAAGTCATATCCTCAATGTGCAGATTAATGAAAGAATTTGAAGGCTATAGTGATGTAGTATGATGCCATTTATATTCTGCAGTGAGTCGATGTGACGTAGGTAAAAGTAATTTCGTGCATTTTGTAAATTCTGTTCGATGACACTGTAACCATTTAGAACATTGCGCGATTCAATGAGGACATTGACCGGACTGTCCGGGGAGTATGTGACATTCGACCAGAATGGCCAAAATGCAGTCTCTGTAGAATTCAGGATTTTAGCAGTGAACCTTCCGGATTGGCGATTTAGAACGGATAAGGACGTTATTTGAATGATTGGCCAAACGGTGAAGGCTAGAAGATTCTGGAATTCTAAATTTTAAATTTTCGAAGTGATGACGTAACATTTCTGAGAAATGTTAAAACGGCCATTTTGGCTAAAATAGCAGAAAGAAACAGAACAACTTTATCTGCGATTACGAACAGTACGAAAATCGAGACTAAAAAACAACAACGAACTACCGAACAGCAGAGGACGTTCCGAGTTGCAACTATTGTGCTGTTACAATAGTTGCAAGGCCGTTGCGAACAACGGTGAAGGGTAAAAACCAGCCCTCCGAGTTAGCGTGAACCTGAGGTTAAGGAGCTTGATTCGCCGGATTCAAGAATCCGGAAGGGTCTCGGGACGGGAACTTTTATGAACTTGTATTGAATTTTAGCATCCTGTCATGTCCTGACTTGAATTTAACTGATATTTTGATTAGTTTTGACAAGGATGAGGTGCTAGGAGTTGGGGGGAAAGGGTTGATCCATCTTCGATGGAGATGATGATTTTTATCTACTGAACAAAAACAATAGTAATATGATAAGTAGCAGCCCTGTTTTTAGGAGTGACCTCGTGGTCTGGGGATACAGAGACCCAGCCATGAGCTCACTAATTTTGCATGTAATTCAGTTAATTTGAGCGTTCTGGTCGAAGCCGGAGAACAGTAACGTTTTTGTCAGCCTGATGTAAGAAAGACCACCGAAAAGTACTGGCTTGGTAGAGACGGTGAAAAACATGCAAAGCTCTGTTTAGACGCTAGCCAGTCGTCTTAAGACTTAGTTTTGTTATCCGTCGATATGTATCTTCCGGGCGAATGTTACACCGGGTATCTGCATCAGCTATATCATCTCCTACCACGCAGAACGGATTATGCCGCGGATACGCTGCGACCCAGAAACGCTGGAGTTATGAAGACTAAATTTTTTTTTTTTTTTTTTCATTTAAATCAAATTTAATTTGGGAAACGTAACTTTAGCATTAAAAAATAATAAAAATATTATTTTTTTTTTCAATTAAGACTAAATTGGAAAAACAACTCTGTATTTTCCCTTCGAGAGTTTTAAGAGGAGTGTACACTTAAATTTGTAAACATGTATTGGATGTATTATCCGATATAAATAAAAGTTTTGTTGTTGTTGTTAGTCCTTTAATAGATCTATTTTTTTCTTTCGATCTTTTCGATTTTTTAAAAACATTTTTCTTTTGTATCGCTAATGGTGCAAAGCTCAGCTTCGCCTCTGTGTCGGATCATTCTGTGCTACTTGCATTCTGCGCCTGCCACTTGCATTCTGTACTTGCGTTCAGATCATTCTGTACTATCGTTGTTGTAAGTTTGATAATATTTCAGGGCTTATTTTGACTGTCTGATGCCGTTTTTGAACAATACTCCGCACGTACCAGGACCTCCTCGACCTATTGCCACTAAAGTTTCCGAAGAGCATGGTGTAAAGAGAAAGTTCGAAGAAATGGCAGGAATTGTACCACCAATGAAAAAAGTTTTCGATGGCTCTTTCCGTGTTGCGCCGTCTATCGTCATCCCCGAGACCGCCATCACAGAAACTCTTTTTGTTCCGGATCATATGGTTGGTCTGTTGATTGGAGCAAGTGGCCAGCACATAATGGCCTTACAGAATGAAACATCAACTAAAATTGAGGTTGCACCTAATAGTTACGGTAAACCAAGAGCGGTCACTTTGACTGGCTTGCAGGAAAATATCAATGAAGTTAGAAACAGGATTCAAGCTCTAATCGATCAGCATGGCGGCGGAGAAGGTGAGGCCAATGACGTTGAAACAATTGATGTAGTTATTCCAGCTGCAAAAGCTGGCCTGATAATCGGATCTCAAGGAGCAACTATCAAACAATTGATGGCGGAAAGCAATGCAAAAATGTATTTAATACAAGAGACTAACCAAAATAATGGCATTGACAAGCCATTGAAAATCACCGGAACCAAGGAGGCAGTGCAGAAAGCGCGAACATTAGTTCTGGATTTGATAAATCAAGGCTCTGGTGGAGCTCCTCCGTATGTTGAGATCCCTGTGCCCAAAGCAGCAGTTGGGTTAATTATTGGGAATGGAGGCGCTACCATCAAAAAGATGCAAGATGATTATAACGTAAGGATTCAGTTCAAACCGGACATACCATCCCAAGACCCTGGTACAAAGATATGTCAAATTTTGGGTGATCCGGATAATTACCAGAATTGTGCACAGAAGATTCTGGAAATGGTTGCGTCAATGGAGGGAAAGAAAGATGGAGGTGGTCATCATCACCATGGTGGTCATCACGATCACGGCGATCAACTGGCCAATCAATATAGTGCACCAATGGATAATTCTCAAACAGTCGTTCAGATGTCTGTTCCTGCTTCTAAAGCTGGTCTTGTTATTGGCAAGAATGGAGAAGTTATACGTCTTCTAAAGATGCAAAGTGGTGCGAATATTGAGTTAGACCGTCATGCAAAAGCGAACACCAGCAGTGACCGAGTGAGGATCTTCAAGATTTCGGGAAATCAGTACCAGACTGCTAAGGCGCAGCATCTGATTAAGCAGATTGTAGGAGAAGTTCCGAAACATCAGAGATTTATGTCTCAGCAAGAGTTCATGCAGCAGAATCAACAAGGTGGAGGCAATCATCAAATGATGGGGCAACAGATGATGCCGCAGAACCAGATGCAGTATATGGGTATGATGGGACAGCAAGGAGGAGGCATGGATCCGATGCAGCAAATGGGAGCGATGGGTGGAGGGTATCCCGGAGGAGCTCCCGGAGGCATGATGCCGAATTCTGGAAATCCGGCTGCCGGATGGATGAACCCTGCAGCGGGAGGAATGCCACCGCAGAATATGATGATGCCAGGTGGAGCAGGAGGATCAGGAGGTATTGCATTACAGACTAAATCAAACCCAGAATCGGGGTTTTTCTAGGACCATATGAGAGATTCATAATTCTAAACGGGTGTATAAAAACAAATTAATTTTCAAACTGCAAAATTGTAGATTTTTTTGTCGTAGGTTACCTGATGTAAATTTCAGGTAACCCGTACGAGCAGTGGTCTCAGTGGATGCAGAGCTTCCAGAAGCAGGCAGCAGGTCAACCAGACTACATGAATCAGTACATGGACTACATGAAGAAATACATGGAACAGATGGGGCAGCAAAGTGGACAGAACTACTCGAAGGTACTCATTAGTGAATCATATATTTTTTTCCATTTAACAACTTTTCTTACAAATTTGTAAGAATTATTTAATTCTGAAATGGTGATTTCTCAGACCTATTTGGAGCGTGTTTGCATTTAATTTCCGTTATTACATTTGCGAGAGCAAGTGTTTTGTAATCGGGAACTAGACTTTTTTCCCGTAAACAAATTTCCTTACACATTTGTAATTGGCGTCTAACTACGTGTTGTTGGCTTAGTTGGCTTCGAACATACTAAAAAATGTCCTAATGCTAGTGGTTGTATCTCTTGTCTGTTTGTCTGAGATTGAATGTTTCGTATTTCCAAAAAAGTTGATTTTTTCAAGTTTTATTTCAACTTGGTTATTTCCATCTCCCTGACTATTTGTTAGCTTGTAATGCTACGTGCTTTTTTGTATGGCAAGTGATGCGTAGCTTCGATTCGCCTTTGCGTTGCACAAGCGAGCTAGCAGGCTTAGTGTTCTGTGGCGAATCAGTATTTTTCCAACCAACTAAAAAAAAAGTGATTATTTGATGGCACTTTTGCTGTATAGCAGAAGCAAATATGTAGCATCTGTTTATTTGTAGCTAGTGTTTATAAATTGAATGGAGATAAAGGCGCAGATGCGAGCACGCAAGGCTCTCAATCTCCAGATTCGGGACGTAAAAAAAGTTATCTTTATGAGTCGAATTTTTTTCTCAATTATAGTTTCGCGGTTTGAGTTTCGATTTATTGTTAACTTCAGTAATTGCCTTTGTTAAAAGCAAGGCAAAATCCACGAAAGTGTAAATACATAGATTAGCGAAAGTGTAAACGTGATCGACTTCTAATTTCGAAAATGGATTTTATTAATCAGATTTCCAGCGAAATAAAAATATTCACCTTTTGATTCAGTTGTCTCATTGAATTAATTTTATCGAAAAAGTGTCCATCTTAAATTGTCCTGGAAATTCAAACAGCTCTAAGGCCATTTTTTTTCTCGAATCTTGAATTTTTTTACAAGAAGTCAATATTTTTGTTCCGACGTTCGATACGAAAGTAAAGGAATATTTGTGCTCGGGGTGGGTTTTTTTCTTCAATTTCGACTTTTAAACTAGCCATTTTTGACGAAATTTTTTTATATCATTCGAAAGCTATTGTTGTCCTGAGCTTAAGTTTGAAAATATGTTTCACCTGTGACCATTTTTCGTAAAGTTATGGGGGTTTAATGATTGCCATTTTGGCCAATTTGGGACAATTAACGCGCGATATATTTAGCGCTATTAACGCGTAAGCGGATATTTAATCCGTCTTAGAAATCGTTCCAAATTGGTTGAAGGAAGCGTATTTGCCCTAATTGATTTGTTACAAGGAGCGAAATCTATCCTTTTGTACTTTATATGGCGTCTGGGGGATGTTTTTCATTAAAAAAATTTGAAATTTTTGAAAAAAAATTCATTTTATTTTATTACATTTTTTTTGTTATACCGCTCCATAAACCTCAAAAGGCAGTCGGAACATTCAGGGCTTTTTGTCTTTCCCTCAAACTGTTTAGTCGGCTTTAAAGTTTTACTCTATTTTTATATCGGCTTAGTCGCTTCAAATTGTACCGTTGCAAGAAGAAAGTATTTTTTAAGTTTGAGAACGAAGTGATTTTCATTTTCATAGGTCTTGATGGTTTTGTTTATCGTTTTTTTTTCAAGGAAAGTCTTTAATTGTCCCAATAACTACAGAAGTGCACCAGCACCATACATATTAATACATTTATGATTGAACTTAGGTATCTTTGCAAATTTGATTAGCTTTGACTTGACTCATTTCCAATCCATTTTTTTCGATTTCTTTGTTCTTTTACACTTTTTCAACCTTCTGTTGTCAATTTTTCAATATTATGTGTGCGGGGTGTATTTTATTGCTCGAAGTTCTCATTGGCCAATTTTTTCGGCTCAAAGGGCGTCTACGCAATTTTCGTCTTCTTAAATACCGATGCATAGATGCTTTTTACTGCTAGCGACTGTTTCTCAAAACTTTTACCTCAAGTTGATTTTTTTCTTCGAGACAGTGGAAACTTTGATGGACCTAGTTATCGACGTTGTTCCGAAATTGGTTTTCGACTACGTGGCTTTTTCCCGTTATGTTTTTGATGTATCGCAAATGGTACGAAGCTCCGCTTCGCCGCCTGTTATTTTTTACTGTAAATCATGCTGAAGTTTTTCTGATACCAATAATTGAAGACTTGTGTTTCCATGAAACGGGGTGTTATGAAGAACTGTAAAGATGATTAAGCTTCAATTTTATCTGTTTGTTCTGTTGTTGCAATTTGTAGCTTTTCAAATGTTTCAATCAGGAGCAGATTGAGATGTGGATGAATTACATGAAGAGCATGATGGGCGGAAGTGGAGCGTCATCAGGTGGCAATCCAGCGGGGGGTTCCGGGGCTCCTTCGATGCCGGGTGGGGGCAGTCAGCCTAACTGGTCAATGCCCAGTGGAAGCGCCGGAACATCGGCTGGACAACCCTCGAGTTCCGGGTCTCAGAACCCGATGGAAGCCATGGAGCAGTGGCAGCGGTTCTACCAGCAGATGCAGCAGCAATAACTTCACACTATTTTTTTGATATGATAGGTTTGACCCTAGTATGTTTTTATTCGATTCAAGACTTAGTTGTCTGTTTTAAAAGAGCCGAGTTCACTTAAAAAAGAATGATTCTGCTCGATTTGGTTTCGTTTTCCAGCTTTGGTTCAGTATTTACAGTTTTAATTGGGCGAGATGAATTGATGCCAATTTGAATTTTTGTTTGGACTGACAAAAAAGTTTTGAAAAACATAAACAACTAGCTCAAAATATTTTTTATTTGGCTCAGAGGCTTAAGTAATATAAATGCCCTTGCTGGATTGGTAGAAATTGTGCCAGGTCTATAAAAGTGACATAAGAAAATACTTATCGAAAAATAACCGTGACACGTTTTACAGGGCGCCTCTGACCGAAGTCTTCATGGAAGTAATCTTAACGGAAACTGTTGCGAAACTCGAGGAAATTGTGAATTGTAGATAAATATTGCGATTTGGGTTTTTTATCCGTGAATGCTATCGATTTGGATTGGATTAAATCGATTTGAATATGAATTAGTTTGGAGAGTTTTGATCTTGAGCATCATGAGTTGCTGTTTTTCTCTTTGATAGATACGATTTATCTGTACATAGTACTTTTAAACATATTTGTACGTTACGCTCGCTAAATTTTCTTTAGGTTTGTTTTCTTGATAGTTCACATAATTTGGGTTAAAAAAAACTGTTTCTGTCAAAGTTGTTGTACAAACTCTTTCGAGATGCCGATTTAAAATTTAAATTTTCTCTTTTTCAACTTTTACTATCTTGCGTTAAGTGATGGCCATGAAAATTATTCTATTTTATTTAATAAAGTTTACTAATTATGAATCACTCATTTTGATCAGCATTTAAACGTTTAGATTGATATTTTAAATGATGAATTCTATGGCGTGTTATTAAAATTTGATGAAAAAACGTGTTGGTTTCTCAGCCTGTAAATAGATATTTTTGAGCTGATTATTTTATTACTAAATATTTTATTTCAAAATAAGTATGATTCATAAGTTTATTTTGATGGCCTGAATTGAAATTGTTTTGGAATTTTGATGCATAAATTAGCTAGCGTTAGTTTTAAATTGTTTTTGATTTATTAAAAATTTGGTTGATTTTTTGAAATTTGATTTGATAAAATATCGGGAAGGAAATCTGCGAGAAAATGGGAGTGTATCGTCACATTGCATTGCGTAAGTAATACAAGCGAGAGATTCTAACAAGATTCGTAAATCTGAGGGCTGATAATTCAGCCCAAAATGACAGCAACTAATCAAATGTTCTTTTGTTTAAGAAAGCGAAAAAACATTTGTTGAATTTTCTAAAGAAACAAAATATCTATTGTAGAATGTGCTCTCATACAAAAAAAGCTCTGGAGTAGAAAGAAAGAGCGTGAATTTTTTGAAACGCAATGTATTTTGGCTCAATCTGGGTGTTCATTTAAAATTGCTCGGATTGACGTTATTAGCTTTGTTTAGATTCGGTTTGCAAAAAAGAAACAGTCATCAATTCTATTCTGAGCGGAATTGATAGTCGGCAGCGAGAAATCAAAACAAGATGGCCAAATCGACTGAAAAAAATACATACAGAAAACAACGTTTCAGCTCTTCAACAAACTCAAAACTTACTTCAAACTGCGTTTATGAAATCAGATTGCTATTCGATGTTCAGCAGAGATCTTATTTTTCATAACTAATTTCTGATTTGTTAGCGATAAAGTTTTGGGTGTATTTTTTTCGGGGCGTATTTAAATGGATGTTTTACGTTATTGTGTATCAGTGTATCTTAATTTAAAGGGACTTTTCTTGTTAACTTCCAATCCCTATCTGATCTACAAGAAAAGCTCTTATAATTGAATATTATTTTAAAAAAATGAAAGAGACACGAGCATGTTCAATTATTGTTTGAGTGGTTTTGAAAAAGTTGTTGTTGTAATCTTTGCATAGCAATTCAAAGTTTATTTTTCATCGCATTTTTTCACATTGGGTATTCCTAATTTTAGCTATTTCATATTTATGGGTGGTCTATCATCTGTAGCAGCTTAAGATTCTGTTTTTGCTATATTTTAAAGTGACCGTGATATAACTTAGTGCGCCTGCAACGCTTGTGTTATAAGGTTAGTTGACAACCTAAGATACAATTTTTGGTTGTCATTTGTTGACACAAGCGAGCTTGTGAAAGTAGTGTTATAAGACCAATTTTTTTTTCAATGCAAGTCGCACATTTTAGAACAAATTTTCTGCACAGTTTACGAGTTATTCAGACATTGTATTTACTTCAGCAACATGCAATTCTTCACTGCCTGCATGAAAAAAAAGGTATGCAAGAAAGAAGTAAAAACCAAAGCAGCATGACCCAGTGGTTAAGACTCAGTGGTACCGTAAAAGGTCCCTTTGACGGTAGGTGCAAAATCACAAATCGTAGTCTTTTGAGGTTTTTGTTCGAAAACTATTTTTGTTTTTCTCAATTTTTTTGCGATCAGCTTAGTTCTTTTTGTTCCGACCATTGAAAATGGGGAGGAACTTTGTGTCGGGTTAATTTTTTGAGTTTTTTTTCAATTTTTTTTTCCACGCAAAATCGGGTACCACAAATAATCATCGGACAGAAACGATTCATAAATCATATTCAAGCCCTTCTAGTCGTGATTCGAACGGCATTAAAAAGATTCCAAAAATGTCTCCTACTGTTGAGAAAAACCGGTTTGAGATTTTGATTTTTCGTCTATTTTCGAGCGAGTACTGCAATTGATTAACGTTTGGTATATGATAATTCGAACTTTAGGCCAGAAAAACTTCTCCGGCAAACATGAATTCCATCAAAATATTTTTTTTTTTCAATTTTTTTCATCGTTTTTTTAAAATTTCCTTTATAAGATCATTAAATTCGCTTATGGCTTATCCTATTTTTGTTTATACTCATAAAAATATGAATATGAATTCATATAACACTACTGTTATAAAATTCATATTCACTTTTTTCTTGCTTCCACATTTCAACCAGAGAGTTTTCGGCTTTATTTCCTCGTCAAATCGGGAGGAATAATGAGCTCAAATTATTTTCTTTGTCAAAATTAACCAACGTCAAACTTTTCAATCGTTACACGATGTTTTTTTTCTTCTTGAAACGTGGTCTGTGTTTTTAGCAATGCAAGCGGCATTTGATGCAAATTTGCTGCCTCTTTGTGAGTTGCTGCTTTGGCTCTGTGTCAGTTTCAGGATCATCTAGTACCTTTTTCGGATAAAATGACGGAAATTTTGTAAATCGATGTTTTTTTGTTTTCTCCCGATGGTTTTAACTTGCCCTTTGTTATAGCAAGTAAAAGATATTCGTGCCATGATTCCAAATTCCAAATTGAAAAGATTTCATCTGCCTTCGTTTTGTTAAAATAGGATTGAAAGTCGTCAAATCGGGAGGAATAATGAGCTCAAATTTTTTTCTTTGTCAAAATTAACCAACGTCAAACTTTTCAAAAATTTTAAGAAGCAACAAACTGCCACCCCTGTCAGTAATGTTAAAATTCAGTCGGGAACATTAAGGGTTTTCCATGATATGAGCAACAATGATGAAGTGCTGAATAACGGGTAAAGTAGCGTTAATAAGCAGCAGTCGGTTAGTGGTTAAGCCAATGAACTAAGTGTGCAAATGTAGGTATATGTTTTGATGGTGAGGGCGACTTTATTATTTTTTGTAAGTTCTAAGTCTTTTTTACCCTCAGCGATAAGCAAGGGTATTGCAATAGAGAAATGGAATTTTTCTTGTAAATAACTTTGTTCACAGGAATCATCTAGACTTCCGGTGGTACCTTGCTCTATTAAACAAGCAAAGCTTGTGTTGTAGTATGAACAATCTTTTTTTTCAACCTAAGTCGCAAATATTATTGCCGCACAAACATTGTTGCGACAAAATGTGTTCATTTTGAGAGCGTTCATTTTGATCAGTAAGCAGCTATTAAGTACAGCCAATGCTAAGGATATTAACACAATCTATTATATTACAAATAGCCTTTTAGCTTCAAGGTATATTGGACTTGATAGGTTTTGGCCTATATTATATCAGCTAAGAAGCCTCATTTTGCGACGTTTTATGAACAAACAAAGTTTTTTTTTCGTGTGGTGAGTGCTGTGTGTTTTGATGGTGAGAGAACTTGGTATTTTTTTGTACAGTTTCCTAAAATTTCGGCCTAAAGGTTTCTGCCACTGTGTTTTCGGCTTTATTTCCGCTGAATATGTTTTCTTCCGATGCTAGTTTATAACTGTTTTGTCTTGGCATTTTTTTTCAAGTTTACTTTCTTGATTGTGATAGATTATTTTTTTCGAAACTTTCAAATTTTTCATTTTTTTCCAAATTAGTTATTCTCAGCAATCTAAAAGATTTTTTAATTTTTTTAACTGACTTATTCGTTTTGTAATTTTAAAACTATTTTGCGTGCTCCCACTCTAAAATTTTCCGCTCTACCTGCCTTAAGAAAAAATTTATGGAAGGCTAGTTCGAAACGGGTTTCAAAAATAGTAACAAAAATAACCCTTCGGAAAAGATTGGCAATCCGAATAACAAGAAAGGGACCCTTGTAAGCTCAGGCATATAGGATAGATCACATACAGTATAGTCACATTACTTATATAAATTTTTATTTTGCTCTTGACGTATACGTATACTACTTAACTTTCTACTAAGAAGTGCTGTTCAGAGGAAAATCATCAACTGTGTATTCTCTCGATTCTCTGGTTTCAAAGTTTTTGGTTGTTTTTGTTTCATATTTGTCAGCGAAACAAACTTAATATAAAACGAATTGTGAGACGATCAATTTTTAATAAAGATTTGTAGTCTTGCGATAAGCCAATGTAGTGCAACCAGGTGCTAGTTTTTCCCGTAAAGATTTTATTCTTGATGTTTGTAAGTTTTCACACGTGAAATTATTACACCGGTTTCTGGTTTCAAATTACTTTCAGAAAAATTCATTGGAATTAATCATCTAGCGCATCTGGGGAAAAAATAAGGCACATGCATGAGATCACAACGGCTTAGTTTTTTCTTGTAGTTTTCGGTCCATCGATCGTTGGTTACTTTTTTGGGTTTAGTTCCAAAATAGGGGTTCGTTTTGAAGGTTTAGCTTTCTTCTAACTAAGTGAATGCCATTTCTCAAGCCTAGTTGTGGAAATAATTAATTTGTTTTGCAAAAATTTTGTCTGATTTTTTGTTTTAATTCAGCAAACAAGTTTGAATTTTTTTGAATTTTTTTATTTGCCCATAAATGTGCAGGGAATCATTACGCGGAGGACTCTAATGCTTGCGATTGAAAAGCGATATCAGTTTGGAACATTGAATTTTTCCTAGGAACAACTTGTCCTACAGAATCACCGAATCGATTTCTCAAATGTACATTTCCTTCAACCATCAAAAACACTTTGGCTCTTTTTGTTTTTCCCATCAACATAAGTATCAATGTAATGGTGTAACGAAGGGTTATACGAGATTGACCAAATGAGTAACGCCAATTATAAAACAATTGGACTATGTGAACAGAAAAAAAGTTTTTGAAAATTTAACAAGTGACGGAGAAGGTTCTATTCAATGCTTTTTAAAAGTTGGCTTCAAGTTTACCTACTCCTGTTTGGCATAGTTTTTGACTTTTCGTTTTTCTTTGTTTTTTTTTCCATTTACTCTGTTTATAATTTTTTTGGTTTATATCTAATCAAATTAGGGCTCTTTTATTGCGTCATTTGACGAGCAAAACAATTTTCATATGCTTATGAGCTTTTTGATGTAGTTAAACTTTTTTCTATGAAAACATTTTTTTGGGCTCAATGTGTACCTACTAAAAAGTTTTCAGCTTTGTAGGTATGTTGTTTCGATGCAAGTTGACATTTCAATTGTCTTAGTTATCATGATTTCAAAACATAATTTTACTTGTCTTAATTATAATCGACATTTTCAATTTTTTTGGCTTTCGTTTCAACTTTTTTCTGCTTGTTTGTCACACCATATTTGCATTGTACCGCAATTGACTTGAAGCTCGTGTGCAACTTGTCATCTAGCGCATCTGGGGCAGAAATAAAGCACATGCATGAGATCACAACGGCTTAGTTTTTTCTTGCTTTTTTGGTCTATCGATCGTTGGTTACTTTTTTGGGTTTAGTTCCAAAATAGGGGCTCGTTTTGAAGGTTTAGCTTTCTTCTAACTTTCTGCATGTCATTTCTCAAGCCCATTAGTGGAAATAATTAGTTTGGTTTGCGAAAATTTTGTCTTATTTTTTGTTTTGCGTATATTGCTACGTAAAACTGCACTTTGTATAAAAAAAGGAACAAATTAAACCAAAAAATTCTTCGCCTACAATTTGTTTCACGGTGACAACTGAGTACAAACCTTTTCAATACAGTTGATCTATAACCATTTTCCCATTTATCATAGAACTTTCCATTCACATTTCTCATAAAACTTTCAAATCTTTACTAAAACGCTATTAGTAGGATTAACAGATTAAGTCAGTCCTGTATAAAAAACTGATTGCTCAAGCTTGAATTCAGTTTGTTTGCATATTTAGTTACAGAGGTTTAAACTGATGTGAAGTGGTTTGAATTGATAGTTTTCAGCTTCATCCATGTGCTGCTTTCGTCTTTGTTCTCTGTCGGCCAGAAGGTACTTTTGCACGCCAGATTTCAGTTCATTTGCCCACTGAAGACTTGCATTGGAACTTGAGCGCACGAGTGAGTATGTCTCTTTTTTCCCAACACTTAATTTTGGAATAATTAAAATGCTTTTTTTTGCTCAACTTACGTGAGAAAAACAATCGGACCAAGTCAACTATCTCCCCCTTAAATCAAATGGAGAGGAGATAGTTCATTTGGTTTTTAAGAGGGCAGATTGTTCACATATTGAGCTTTTTTTCGGCCGAGGAATTTTAATTTTTAACAAATCAAGATCATTTGCCGCATCTGTGTTATAAAATGATAGACATATTTGCGGCGTGATCACGATTTTGTTTCAGATTATGTTGACCCATTTCACTGGCTGCGGCTGACATGTTGCGGGATTGTAAAAATTAGTCGGGACTATGAAATCTCAGTCTGAATTTGATACCTGTTCAGCAATCGGTAAGGAAACCAGCAAAACAGCTACATGCAAACTAGCCGAAAAACCTTAACTGTTTATAATAACTATGCAAGAGTTACAAAAATGTTTCAAGTTGCAAATGACGTAGCGCTTCGGCAATCGTTGAATCAGCGTTTGAGTCATTTCTTGTCTTTTTAAAGCAGCCGCTGGATTCTGTTAAAATCAAAACCACTTTGGATTCTTTTGAAATCGAAAACGTCTTAGTTGTCTGGCCGTAAAACCGCAATGTTGGCCCGAAATAGTTTTGTAATCCTCGAGTTGCGGTTTAACTAATCCCGTATCAGCAGGATCAGGAAGCTGTGACGAAATGGCTACTTAGGGTATCCACTTTTCACTTTATTAGTATTTGATGCTTTGAGGCTGACCATGATTTGCGCTTGTTCATTGAAATGCTATCTTGGCCAAACAGTACTTTTAAAAAATGTGCGTTTAAAGTCCTACTAGACTGGTGGGGGAGAGTGCCAATCTACCAAACTCGTCCCCCCCCCCCAGATTTCCCTGTTTCCGTAGTAAATTAGGATTGAGAGACATACTCTGTTGAGGCAATCTAAAACATATAACTAAACATAATTGAATTTCGGTTAAAATTAGTAGTTCTGAAAGTTGCACAGATTGTTGTTCCGGCCAAGTTTTTTTTGATATCAACTAAAAAAGTACTTTCCAATAATATGGTCTGTTTTTTTTTTGGAAACCTACGGGTGTGTGGTGTGGAAAAACAGGGTTGGTTAAAAACGTATAAAAGTATTCTATACGTTTAAAAACTTTAGCAGTTTTCCTTCAGGGAACTTTTTGTACGCTGAATAATGAAACATTCATTTCGGACTTTAGGGATGTTTTCAAAAACCTGTTGGAAGATGTTACCGTCCTGATGTTTTGAGACATATAGCAAAAATGGCCTTTGTCAAAACTGTTTCGAAACAGTGTTTTAGAACGGCTTTAAAACACCGCGTGTTTTAAAACGTGCCAATCCTGGGAAAAATGGAATTTTGTGGTGTCTTTTTGTCACTTTGGGTTCTTCAAAGAAAGCACTTAGTGGTGCGAGTGATCTTAGGATCACAGCTCTATTAGTTGTAGCTTATGAATTTTCTCTACGTTTTTCATCCTTTTTTTTGCTATAACGATTTGATTCTTGTATGTCATCATCTGACTGATTTCGCGTTCTCTACCAAAAAATTTGAAAAATTTTGGATATACTTTTTCAAATGCTCTCCTAATTTTTGTTCATGTCTCAATAAGTAAAAAGAAATTTTTGTGGTCGAAAAAAATTTCTCAGCAACCGGCTATTTTTTTTGTAACGTGAGCTTTGATTTTGAGTTTTTAGTGTTAAAACAAATGTTTTATGCTTGAATGTTGCAACAGCGCTCATCAAGCAAATGTGAGTCTTACTATCCCATAGAAACAAAATGGACATATTACAAATAATTACGAGCAATTGTGATTCTTACTGTCCCATAGAAACAAAATGGACATTTAACAAATATTTACAAGCAATTTTGAGTCTTACTGTCCCATAGAAACAAAATGGACATATAACAAATATTTACAAGCAATTGTGAGTCTTACTGTCCCATAGAAACAAAATGGACATATAAAAAATATTTACAAGCAATTGTGAGTCTTACTGTCCCATAGAAACAAAATGGACATTGAACAAATATTTACAAGCAATTGTGAGTCTTACTGCCCCATAGAAACAAAATGGACGTATAACAAAAATTTACAAGCAATTGTGATTCTTACTGTCCCATAGAAACAAAATGGACATATAAAAAATATTTACAAGCAATTGTGAGTCTTACTGTCCCACAGAAACAAAACGGACATATAACAAATATTTACAAACTATTGTGAGTTTTACTGTCCCATAGAAACAAACTGGACATATAACAAATATTTACAAGCAACTGTGAGTCTTACTGTCCCACAGAAACAAAATGGAAATATAACAAATATTTACAAGCAATTTTGAGTCTTACTGTCCCACAGAAACAAAATGGACATATAACAAATATTTACAGGCAATTGTGAGTCTTACTGTCCCGTAGAAACAAAATGGACATAAAACAAATATTTACAAGCAAAGGTGAGTCTTACTATGCCATAGAAACAAAATGGACATATAACAAATATTTACAAGCAATTGTGAGTCTTACTGTCCCACAGAATGAAAACGGACATATAACAAATATTTACAGGCAATTGTGAGTCTTACTGTCCCGTAGAAACAAAATGGACATATAACAAATATTTACAAGCAATGGTGAGTCTTACTATCCAATAGAAACAAAATGGACATATAACAAATATTTACAAGCAGTTGTGAGTTTTACTGTCCCATAGAAACAAAATGGACATATAACAAATATTTACAAGCAATTGTGAGTCTTATTGTCCCACAGAAACAAAATGAACATATAACATATATTTACAAGCAATTTTGAGTTTTACTGTCCCATAGAAACAAAATGGACACATAACAAATTTTTACAAGCAATTAGAGTCCTACTGTCCCATAGAAACAAAATGGACATATAACAAATATTTACAAGCAATTGTGAGTCTTACTGTCTCATAGAAACAAAATGGACATATAACAAATATTTACAAGCAATTGTGAGTCTTACTGTCCCATAGAAACAAAATGGACTTATAACAAATATTTACAAGCAATTTTGAGTCTTGCTTTACTGTCCCCTAGAAACAAAATGGACATATAACAAATAATGACAAGCAATTGTGGTTCTTACTGTCCCATAGAAACAAAATGGACATATAACAAATATTTACAAGCAATTGTGAGTCTTACTGTCCCATAGAAACAAAATGGACATATAACAAATATTTACAAGCAATTGTGAGTTTTACTGTCCCATAGAAACAAAATGGACATATAACAAATATTTACAAGCAATTGTGAGTCTTACTGTCCCACAGAAACAAAATGGACAAACAAAAAATATTTACAAGCAATTGTGAGTCTTACTGTCCCATAGAAACAAAATGGCCATATAACAAATGTTTACAAGCAATTGAGAGTCCTACCGTCTCATAGAAACAAAATGGACATATAACCAATATTTACAAACTATTTTGAGTCTTACTGTCCCATAGAAACAAAATGGACATATAACAAAAATTTACAAGCAATTGTGAGTCTTACTGTCCCATAGAAACAAAATGGGCATCTAACAAAAATTTACAAGCAATTGTGAGTCTTACTGTCCCACAGAAACAAAATGGACATATAACAAATAATCAAAAGCAGTTTTGAGTCTTACTGTCCCGTAGAAACAAAATGAACATATAACAAATATTTACAAGCAATTGTGAGTCTTACTGTCCCACAGAAACAAAATGGTCATTTAACAAATATTTACAAGCAATTGTGAGTCATATAACAAATTTTTACAAGCAATTTTGAGTCTTACTGTCCCACAGAAACAAAATGGACATATAACAAATATTTACAAGCAATTGTGAGTCTTACTGTCCCGTAGAAACAAAATGGACATAAAACAAATATTTACAAGCAAAGATGAGTCTTACTATCCCATAGAAACAAAATGGACATATAAAAATTCTTTACAAGCAACTGTGAGTCTTACTGTCCCACAGAAACAAAATGGACATATAACAAATATTTACAAGCAATTGTGAGTCTTACTGTCCCACGGAAACAAAATGGTTATATAACAAATATTTACAAGCAATTGTGAGTCTTACTGTCCCGTAGAAACAAAATGGACATATAACAAATATTTACAAGCAATTTTGAGTCTTACTGTCCCACAGAAACAAAATGGACATAAAACAAATATTTACAGGCAATTGTGAGTCTTACTGTCCCGTAGAAACAAAATGGACATAAAAACAAATATTTACAAGCAAAGGTGAGTCTTTCTATCCCATAGAAACAAAATGGACATATAAAAATTATTTACAAGCAACTGTGAGTCTTACTGTCCCACACAAACAAAATGGACATATAACAAATATTTACAAGCAATTGTGAGTCTTACCGTCCCACAGAAACAAAATGGACATATAACAAATATTTACAGGCAATTGTGAGTCTTACTGTCCCGTAGAAACAAAATGAACATTTAACAAATATTTACAAGCAATGGTGAGTCTTACTATCCCATAGAAACAAAATGGACATATAACAAATATTTACAAGCAGTTGTGAGTCTTACTTTCCCATTGAAACAAAAGGGACATATAACAAATATTTACAAGCAATTGTGAGTCTTACTGTCCCACAGAAACAAAATGGACATATAACATATATTTACAAGCAATTTTGAGTCTTACTGTCCCATAGAAACAAAATGGACACATAACAAATATTTACAATTAATTAGAGTCCTACTGTCCCATAGAAACAAAATGGACATAACAAATAATTACAAGCAATTGTGAGTCTTACTGTCCCATAGAAGCAAAATGGACTTATAACAAATATTTACAAGCAATTGTGAGTCTTGCTTTACTGTCCCCTAGAAACAAAATGGACATATAACAAACATTGACAAGCAATTGTGGTTCTTACTGTCCCATAGAAACAAAATGGACATATAACAAATATTTACAAGCAATTGTGAGTCTTACTGTCCCATAGAAACAAAATGGACATATAACAAATATTTACAAGCAATTGTGAGTCTTACTGTCCCATAGAAACAAAATGGACATATAACAAATATTTACAAGCAATTGTGAGTCTTACTGTCTCATAGAAACAAAATGGACATATAACAAATATTTACAAACTATTTTGAGTCTTACTGTCCCATAGAAACAAAATGGACATATAACAAAAATTTACCAGCAATTGTGAGTCTTACTGTCCCATAAAAACAAAATGGGCATATAACAAATATTTACAAGCAATTGTGAGTCTTACTGTTTCACAGAAACAAAATGGACATATAACAAATAATTACAAGCAATTTTGAAAGCAATTGTGAGTCTTACTGTCCCAGAGAAACAAAATGGACATATAACAAACTTTTACAAGCAATTGTGAGTCTTACTGTCCCATAGAAACAAAATGGACATATAACAAATTTTTACAAGCAATTGTGAGTCTTATTGTCCCACAGAAAAAAAATGGACATATAACAAATATTTACAAGCAATTTTGAGTCTTACTGTCCCATAGAAACAAAATGGACATATAACAAATAGTTAAAGCAATTGTGAGTCCTACTGTCCCTTAGAAACAAAATGGTCATTTAACAAATGTTTGCAAGCAATTGTGAGTCTTACTGTCCCATAGAAACAAAATGGACATATAACAAATATTTACAAGCAATTGTGAGTCTTACTGTCCTACAGAAACAAAATGGACATATAACAAATATTTACAAGCAATTTTGAGTCTTACTGTCCCACAGAAACAAAATGGACATATAACAAATATTTACAAGCAATTGTGAGTCTTACTGTCCCACAGAAACAAAATGGACATATAACAAATAATTACAAGCAATTGTGAGTCTTACTGTCCCATAGAAGCAAAATGGACTTATAACAAATATTTAC